TCTATGCTGCAGAGTTTTTTTTTGGAAAAATGGCAATTTTTCAAAAAAAACCTTCACTTATGTCCACACTGCAATTGCATTCTTTTGCAATCACGTTCTTTTGAAAAAAAATTGAAAGAACAGAGGGTTTTTTCCGACATTGGTAAATCTCTTTCTACAAAGAAGAAGCCTTTTTCCGAAAGAGCTCTCTTTTGGAAAAAGGTGTGTGAGGAAGGGGAAGAGGGAGTTCTTTTGAAAGAAGCGGAAAGAGGAAAAAGTGCAGGTGTCCTGGTGGCCACTCTGTCCATAGTAATCACAGCTTAATTGCGAGATAGCGTCCACACTGAATGGATGCTATCTTTCGAAAAAGCAGATAGTTTTTTCAATGCGCTTTTGCTGTGTGGACACTCTCTTTCAGAAGAACTCTTCTGGAAAAGTTTCTTTGGAAAGAAGCCTGCAGTCTAGGCATAGCCACAGGCTCCAGCTATGTGTGGGGCAGTAGGCAGGAGCTGGTACATGTGAGGAGCGGGCTTAAACTGCTGCCCCTCGTGTAACCACTGAAGTAAGCAGTTACACGGTTACTTAATTACACACAGTTTACCATCCCTATTATCCACAAAAGCTTATGCCCAAATAAATCTGTTAGTCTTTAATGAGCCATAGGACTTCGCATTGTTTCTACTTTCCTAAATTATAACTTGTGTTCTGTACTTTGAGGGGGGAAAAAGCACAACATTTCCTACTACAGCACGTAGTAAATTCAACCTAACAAAAACAAACCAAATTGGATGTAAATGGCCATCTTCTGAATGATCCATTTGTCTCCAAAGGGGGCTGGATTGGTGCACCTTATTGTTCAAAGGAATTTAGTTTTCAGGTAAGCACGAATAATATTTCTTTATGGTAAGATCCACAGGTCATCACAGTGGGATTTTCAAAGCCTCCAGGATGAGAAGTAGGATCTTCCTTTAAATGGAACATTCAAAATTAGGTCAATTATAATCTGTATGTTTTCCATCTCAGAAAGAGAGAGGACATGTGCCCAAAGAAAGAGAATGCCAATGCCATAAAACTAATATCCAGAGTTTTACTAACTTGTGTTGACAGCTAAAGGGGTATTTAGCAGATGTGAACACAGGAGTTATGACTACTCTGCTCTGACATTGTCATAGCTTTGGAGGTCTGGATGTTGATGCTTACCCAAAGGAGGAATATTTATTGAATTTACTTAGGGAATTAGTGCTATGACATTTGTAAGGACTCTGTCTGAATGCAAAATACAACAGCAGTTCTCACTATAGAAAGCACCCACCTTCCAGGAACTCATCTGATTGGAGATATCTGCATAGTGCTGTAAGGAGCAGAATGCAGTTTCAAGGTCATGCTTTGTGATCCTGCAGGCTTGGAATAAGGGTTGTCGCCCTCAGGAAACATTGAATTTTAAGACATGGTACAATACATCTTTTTCTTGAACATGCTCGGAACATCATCAGATTGCTTGATCTTTTAGCTTGGATGCTCCTAGCCACTCATAATGAAGTCCTTCTGTTGGAGCTTACGGCTATATTTCACTGGTTTAACATGATAGTTAAAACTGTAGACTTTGCACCAGCCAGTAGCATACATTCTATTTGATGACTTCGCTTTTGGGGTCCATGAGAACAATAGTCACTTCTGCCAAATGTTTCCTTTAAATGTCTGATCCCTCGTGCTAAATTAATCAGATTTGAAATCCAAAGCCACTTCTGCCAGAAAGAAAGAAATTGATTCACTATTGTTCTCTTATTGCTATCTTCTGTATTGTCGGTGGGAAGACATATAGTTAGGACTTTGCTAGTGGTCATTTACCACCTCATGTACCATATGGTATATAGGTGTATTGTTTTTGGATGCAAAATGTTGATCAGCAGCCCATCACATTGACTTATACTACATATTTCTGCATATAGGAGCCAATTTGCTAATCAGACTTCCACTATGTAAATCTAAGGCTACATCTACACTGCAGGCTTCTTGCACAAGAGCTCTTGTGCAAAAAGGAGTTATTTCTCGTAGAAAGAGGAATACCTACATCACAAAAATCCCTCTGTTCTTTTGATTTACTGTAAATTTACTCATGCAAAAACACACTTGAGGTGTGGACATTCTGCAGGTTTTTGCGCAAAAATAGCCGTTTTTGCGCAAAAACCCTGTAGTTTAGACGTAGCATTAGTGTTCTACTCCCTGTTGGTAGGCAGTGTATATATAGAGATAGGAAACTACTCTTCCCAGGACAGAAAAATTTCTCTAGAGCACGACTGATGATAGTCTTCCGACTGGTGACCCCATCTGAAATATGATGATCACAACCAGAACAGTATGCAGTGTAGTTGTCAGTCTCAGGATATTAGACAAGATGAGTGAGGTAATATCTTTTGTTGGACCAACTTCTGTTAGATGCTTAAGAATCAGCTTGTTATCCATGAAAGGAGCAGTGCACTGAGATCTCCAGGAGACACTGTTCCAACTGGTGGATCCGTACTCTTTTTTTGGTACCCCTTCCCTGAACTGACTCAGGAAGATCCCTTTTACAAGTAAATCTGTTTCTCTGCCTTCACCAGTTGTGAAAGCAGAGAATACAGTTGGAAATAGTTCTCTGGAAATGGAGGAGATAGGATAGGCTGAGGAGTGGATACCTAATATTACTGAGTACCATTGTGATATATGAACTCTGGATCACTGAAGCATGCCAGGATGGGAGATCAATTACTCTTGGAGTATACTGAGAATTCTGAACTTTGTTTCTGTGAAAGCACTTGTTTTCCATTATTACCATCTTGTTAACATTTCATCTGAAATAAGACATTCTACTTGATAGTATATGTCTTCAGTTCATGCCACTGAGTGACTTCCCTGACCTCATTTTTTGTCTAGAATTTAAGACACTCCTGAAGTTGTATTATTGTGTGTGCGCTTCAGTTTTCTCTCTGTATAGAACTCTGCTCCGAAAGATTGTTCATGAAGAGAGAGAAGAATTTTCTTCTTCTTCTTCCCTGATGCCAACATTATTGCCACCATGATGCTGGAGATAAGACTCCGAGAATATATTAAGATCAAACTGGGAAAAGAGGAAAAAGTTGCCATTCTTCTGTAAAATGTTAATCTCAGGATGGCAAGGTAGGCATATGTGGAAGACAAGCCTCCTTTAGGAATTTCATGTTTTAGGCTGGGCCCTGCTGTATTTGTCCCTGATTCTTTGAGGCTGGAAGTAGTATGGAGAGTGAATTGCAATGCTCTGATTTGAAGTAGATGGCAAATTTTATTCATAACATGGCCTTTCCACGGAGGCTGAGAATGGGGCAAAGTTGTTCCTCTAATACTTGCAGTATGTCTCAGCATGCTGTGACTTCATTTGCTCCTCAGCTGAGAGAGAGCTGACACCAACTGAGGGTTTAAGACAACAGATAGAGTAGTTACTAACTCTGCATTTTTTCCTAGCAGCTAGTTGCAGAACTGAATCTTCTCCTATTATATTTCAGGGACTGTTTCAACTTGCCAAATATCCAATTTCCCCTGCCATTTTATCTGGCAGGAACCAGGATTGTAAGTAGATTTTTCTGATGGCTGAATCCCCTCAGCTTTTCATAGTTTGATTATAGCACCAGGATAGTTGGGAACTGATTTACCTGAGCATCTGATGCCAAGGTTCAAAGGCCCAAATTATTAGTCTCAATATTTGAAACTTTAGCTCTTAAAAGCACTTTACAAAGCTATTATCATTATACATAGTTTTGCAGAATGGAAAACAAGGCAAAATGAAATTACTTGCCCCAGGATAACCCATGGGCTACTAGCAGATCAGAGTTTGGAATCTCTCCGAAACAAATCTTTGCAGTAGAGGTAGATAAAGCTGCCTGCCACTGTGGAGACAGAAAAAGACTGAAAGAACTTCAGGAGGTAGGATATTCCCTAGCTGGCATCTCTCAAACTCCTCCCAGCTGCAAGCAGATTGAAGTGGCCTGTATAACAGATCTACAGGCCTTAGCATGAAGAAACTAGAGTTTAATACAAATCTAGTTTCTTAAAAAAAAATCCTTCAATGAGAGCATGAGATATTCTAGCAAATTGAACTATTCACTGCCTTATACAGAGGCATCTGCAACAACCAGGTTGTTTCCTTTTACCACTAATGTGCAGGATTCAGGAGAAAGGATACTCCTCCCCTCAACCCGCCCCCCCCCAAAATGCTAAAAAAAAAAAAGAGTTCAGATCTTCATTAAAATGTTAGTCATTTTATAAAGGATCACATAAAAATACTTAGGGAATAATCTCAGACTCATCCATGTTAATTTATGCTGGGATTATGCTTTCACCTTCCATCTGAATAGGATTAAGAGGTTCTCAATTGTTGTAACCCACATAACTTAATATCAAGTTTTTCATCTGTAAGATCTTTTCAGGAAAAAAAAAACCCAGAGTAAGCAGCATAGAACTCTGCTCACCAAAGGAATAAAGCTGTCCATATTCTAGCTGCCATGGACATCTCCCTCTTAGAACTGAGAGTGTTTCACAGCTCAAGAATTTCCCACACATGGTGAGTCACAAGAGACAAGCTTACTCCCTGGTGCAACCCATTTGGGACAGACTTTTGATTAACACATTGGATTTGACTCTAGAGATCAGTGTTCAGTTTCCTGTGCCATTATTATTCATTGGACTTTGGGGAAATTCATTTTCTCTCTGCTTCAGTTCTCCCATCTGTTCAAATAGGAATAAGTTCTTTCTTCCACTGTTTTATACAAGAAAAATAGAAAGAAAGTCCTTGCTCATCTCATCTGTAAATAAAGCAGAAAGCTCAATGGACATGTAGTCTTGGCTGGGATCTTTGATTAAAATAGTATTTTAAATGACACTTTTGAGTGCAATAATGTTTAGGGAGATACTCCGCAATACACCTCACCACATTCTTCAACTCATAGGAATATTAATCTCCTCTGTAGTTTTACCTTCCCCACATCTAGAAAGGAAGCTGTCAGAAGTAGTCAAACTGCAACAATTTAATATTTCACAGGTTCCAAGCAGGACAGAATTAGAACAAGTTTTTAAAAAAGGGTCACAGTCATACATAAAGTGGAAAATAAAAATGCAGACAGCACAGGACCAAGCTCTAAACTGCAACCCTATACTACTTTAAAGCATTTAGTTACAAGAATTTAGAATCACTGAATAATACATTTTGCTCCTAAGACACGCTGCAAGATGGTAGAACAATTGTATAGCTTATAGCAAGAAACTTCAAGACTACACTTAATTTGCTGCAATTTTCATAGTGTCTGTTACTTTAAAAAATGGCTTATCAGAAAGGGTAAGGAGTTTGTGATTTAAAATTTAACCCTTTAAAATTCCCAATTTCCATAAAGATTAGTAAAAGGATTTAGTTGAACAGTTAATGCAGTAAAGTTTGTCAACAAATGTGTAGTTGACTGTCATACCACTCTGTGTTAAAGCCTCTTAACTGTTAGCTGATAAACTTACATTGATGACATGGTCCTCTTCAATCCCCAAAAATGGTGTATGACAGATTACCATAGCAATGCAAAATGTTTTACTCAAATAAGATGAGTAAATAATTCCTTTTGTTGGAATCTTCTAAAACAAGCCTATATATTTTAACATTTCATTTCCACTGCTACAGCATACCTAGAAAACTGTCAGATAAACATATTTAATGGTAATGCTGTCTAATAAGGAAAGCTGCTTCAGATCACAGCTGAAGTCCCAATGGTTCAGTCTCACTAGCTGACTATATCAAATAGTTTACCATTTACCAACATCAGCTAAACAGGAATAAAAATGTTAAGACAAGTGATACCCTTTGACCTTTAATTTCTATAAAAAGATTTATATCTTCCTTGTACAGCCATAGCCACTTAAAAGCTCACATTTAGAAATTCTCTGCAGAGATATACAATTTTACAAAATACTGCATTACCAAACATTCACATGAAACTTCCACCATCTTTTACAGGCTGCCAAAAGGTTATCTGCAGAGTCAGCAGATCTTGAATAACTGAGCTTGTGTCATGCATTTAGATCCTGCCCATGAACATCCTTGAAGATGTGGGAGATGTACCCAATTCAAAATGTGCCAAAGTAAGGATATCTGTCCCCATTCAATTCACTGAGATTACATTTCTCATTTTCACTTTTAACATAGTCAGTCTTGTTCATTAGTTTAAAGAGTACAGTGCTGTGTTTTAAGTAAAAGTGAACTTAAAATACAAATGTAGTGAAAGTCTTTATATCTTGGCTATAGGAGATGTGAATGGTTAAAAGCAACAAACTAAACTAGTAAATCATGCAGTCAGACAACGGCTTTAATTAGATCACTCTTTGGTGGTTTCTAACATCACAGCAAAGGTATTTCTCTCAAGATAACTACAATGGATCATGAACCTTGGCTCAATTGAAATCAAGCCATTTTCTTCTATTGTTTTTGAGCTAAAAAAGTCACAAGCAGTAAGGTTTCATTTGCAGGTGATAGAGGGATACCTTTAAAACACATCTGAGATATAGCAGTATCGTCTTTAGTAAAAGATGACAAAGTTTCAGATATCAGCACGTATTTTTTAAAAAAGTGTCCAAAGCTTATTCTATGAACAGTGTTGAAATGATAGACATTAGAAAACTCTTTACACAGCTTCATTAAGTGAAAATGAGTTTTTCCAACCATTAGGCATGAATCATTAAAAGCAGTATACTTCAAAAATAAACCTTTAAGCTGCCTTCTCTCTCTCAGCCATTTTAAGCATACTTTTCCCCCACCCACACTTCTAAACATCTCCAGTTCTGTCTCTTGCCAGCCATCACTAGTAGAATACACTCATTGAGAATTTATAATCTGTATAAAAATAGTTTCAAAAAGCAAAAACAAAATATATGAAACTATTAAGCATATCAGAAGATGCCTTTTACACAGTTCAAGAATTCCTTATCAAGAGGATGCAGAAACCACTAAGAATGGCAGCCGGCACATCATATACAGCTAGTACTGCAAAAATGGCCAACAATCTTTTTTTACTTTCACATTTTAGTCCCATACTGCATAAGATTTACAGTAAACGAATATTCAGCCATGTACTATCCCCTCTCATACATGTGCTTGGTTCTAAATTTATCAAGTGTAACATTTCACCAGATATAAAGCTTGAATCTAGGTTTTAAATGAATCTTCATACACAGTGCTGTCCCTTCAGAGGAAAGCAAAACTTTTCCCACAGCTCTTTAGAAGATAAGTGTCTAAGACATGTGGCTTTGTTGTAGTCCAAATCTTAGCAGATTCCAATGCCACTGATGTAGTATTATGGAACTCAACTAGGACTCCGTCCTCTTTTAGTCAGACTTATCCTTTTTCTTCCCCGTTAAAGGCACTTTACTTGTGACAGCAGATCCTACAGCTGTAATACCCCCCGCCACAGCAGAAACACTTCCTTTAACTAGACCCACTCCCATGGAAGGCACTGCTGTAACAGCTGTTTTGGTCATTTCCAAACTTTTTCCTCCAATCCAGGCTACACCACCGATCGTGGCACCAACTGCTCCCTTTGTTACACTGAAAATGCCACCAGTCACACGAGAAAGCATGCCAGGCTGCTGCTGTGGATGCTCTTTCAATGAACCTGAAAGAAAAAGTGTAAACATTCAAGTCAGTGACACTAATTAAGAGTTCTAAAAGTATACAGTTTATTCATAAGTATTGCTCCTTTTAATGACATGACACAATGTAAGGTGCATCTCTTACACAGAGTCTTGGCTACCTTCCTGGAAAACACTAGGTTTCCCGGGGGTTGGTTCTCACTGAGAAGTGAGAGCTAAGCCTAAGAGTGCCTTGATGCCATTTTTTCCACAATACTGATTAATGGACAGTAACTCTTCAAAGTTTAGATCAGCTTTGAATAATACCCAAAAATGACATGACACAATGTAAGGTGCATCTCTTACACAGAGTCTTGGCTACCTTCCTGGAAAACACTAGGTTTCCCGGGGGTTGGTTCTCACTGAGAAGTGAGAGCTAAGCCTAAGAGTGCCTTGATGCCATTTTTTCCACAATACTGATTAATGGACAGTAACTCTTCAAAGTTTAGATCAGCTTTGAATAATACCCAAAT